AACCAACCAAAAACTCTACAAAACACTACATGAAAAGACTGAGAAACAATAAACCAATCAAAAACTCTACAAAACACTACATGAAAAGACTGAGTAACAATAAACCAACCAAAAACTTTACAAAACACACTACATGAAAAGACTGAGTAACAAGAACACCAACCAAAAACTATACAAAACACTACATGAAAAGACTGAGTAACAATAAATCAACCAAAAACTCAGGGTGATATCAATTTCTCCGATAGGATTTTCAGAGCATTTCCTGCTCAACATGTGGCACTCGTCGTGTGGAGCATGGTGAGTACACATTTGGTGTCAAGTCTCATTCGGTGATGTAACAGTCGCGGGAAATAGGACGGGAGAACATATCCGAGGTCATTTGTGACACAAATATTCTATAACGGTCAACCAACTCATTTCAATTTATGTGTTTTAATGGGGAAATGGATTTATATGATGACAACAAAATACATGCATGCACCGAAGACTAGAACAAAAGTAAATCTAAACATTACACGTGAACAAAAATGTGTTGAGGACAAGGCTATGTTAATTAAGTTTTAATTACTGAACGTCCAAATGCCAAAGTTACAGAATAATATCAAACCAATGCTTTGGTAGCTGTAAATGTGCCGGTTTTTTTTATCACCACATAGATATAGTATACTTTCGACAAGGATTCCTAACACGAGAAATGCATCATCAATAATCACAGTGGAAAGATCAAAATTAATTTTCATTATCTTTCTTCCAAAAGCTTATAAAAAGTAGACCACTAGATATTATTTCTGAATATAAATCAAGTTATGAGTTCTGACTAAATATATTGACATCCCTTTCTTCCAATGATAAAGCTATCCGTATTTAGGAAGGAACCCCTGGGAGCGTTATCTGTCATGTCAAGTTTTGTATTGTATGAAATATCGACTATGGTTCTCAAATCAAAGGTGTTAATCGTCTGGTATTATTTAAATGTATAAATAAGTAAAATAAAGGTTAAAGTATGTATAATTTCTTATACATTTCCGTTCTTTTTGTGCGACCTAAAGTGTTATACTGACTTGCATTTAGAATGGAAAATAAGAATGTCGTTTTATCATGTATAGTAGCCAACTAAATCTATCCGTATTCTAGATTTAACACATCTATAAAATCACTTCCCTTATATTACTCTCCTGTTAAAATTATAAAAGTATACAAATTTCAAATCATACCAGCCGGAACAATTCCGGAGATGTAATGCTTCAAAGTAAAACAAATTTATAGAATAGCAATTTATTATTTTATATTAGAAATATGTCTTTTAGAAATTTTGGACTGTATTGCAAGTTCTTTAGCAATGTAGTGTATAAGTTTCTCGAGGTTTAAATTTTTGAACAGCAAAAAGAAGCATTAAAACACATAAAAACGGGGGAATGTAAAGGAAGTTACACAATTTATATTACTTCAATAGCATCTAACACAAATTCAATAATGGTCAAAATATAATACGTGTGTTTTTGGCAAAAACGATAAAAAGGTGGTTTAAAACCTGATAACAGCATTACATGTAACTTTGAAAATAGTTAGTTCTTGTTCGTCTAACCTCAAGTCTTAGGGTGTGAATGTCCACATGCTTGATGTAGATGTTATTTGATATTTTGTTATACCTTTACAAATCTTTCAAATAATAAACTGTATTGTACGACTGTCCCTTCTTGGGGACAGAATACAGAAACGTCAAGAATGTCGAAGTTTATTTTGCAATTTCATCTTTGTATATTGTACTTAACATCAAATATTTCCAAGAAAACCATAATTTTCTTTTTTAATATGTTACCAGTTTCAAATGGACACGGAAAAGGGATCTTATTATATATAGGATTGGTCTGAAGTCGGAATTAGTTATAACAACTTAACTATCAAGAGAAAAACGTAGAAATGTTTATTATGGCATATTAAGGCATTGTAAAAGATTGTCCACTATAGCCAAAGGCGAGGTTTAGCGCATTTAAATCTATCAACGATGAATATTTTTGTCTCAGGAAATACGATTTTCTTAAACAGACTGAGATAATTTATTTATTTCATCATAAATAAATATTCAATATTGCATTGCTTCTAAGTTTCTTTGTAAACCTAAATAATGAAATAGTACTCATTTTCCTGTCTCCGTTCCTAGAGTACATTAATTTGATAGTATGAAGATAAGAGTGTTTTAAGTCTTAGTTTTATGACGAGAGTAGGGACGGCAATGTACCATCATTTCAACAGTTATCATCTTTAAATTCATTTCCAAGTAATCAGATAACTCGATAGTACCCAATGAAAATCGATACTAGGTCATTGTCTCTTTTATCTCAAAGTATATTACAAAAATACAATTCAACTTTCATTTGCAATACAATTTTCGCACTTTAATGAAATAAGTTCTTAACTAAATGAAAAACGGAATTAAATTAGGTAAAATAATAGATTTTTTAAAAAGATATTTTAAAAATGAAATAGGTTAATTTGTGTGAATTATTTTTTAGCAAGCATTTAAATGGTAACGGGAATTATTCCCGCAGACGAAAACTAAATATATCAACATCATAAAGTAGCTTTTTATCACTAGATGTGTTAGAACGAAACGAATACCACTGCATGCAGGCTTCTTGCGAAAATAATTCTGCAAAGTCGGTCAACCGAACCAAAAGACAAATACGACTAAGTCTAAATTGAAAACAACGTTCAAACCTATGATTGCGTTGGATAAAAACCGCAATTTTTATACGTGTGCATGCAAAAAAATTTCTTGTTAGAGGGGTCTAAATACAGCACAAACAACATTTTCCATAAGACCAAAAAATTGAAAAAGTATTTTTTAACAAAACGCATTTGACTAGCAGGTCGAAAAAAAGTAAAATCACAAAAATACTGAACTCCGAGGAAAATTCAATCGGAAAGTCCCTAATCACATGGCAAAATCAAATGACAAAACACATCAAACGAATGGACAACAACTGTCATATTCCTGACTTGGTACAGGCATTTTCAAATGTAGAAAATGGTGGATTGAACCTGGTTTTATAGCGCTAAACCTCTCACTTGTACGACAGTCTTATCAAATTCCGTTATATTTAGAACGGATGTTCTTAAACCCTGCTGACTGCGATTGGCGATTGCCAAATAAACGGATCAGCAGATGTAACAAAATGGATCGTAACTATTAATTTAATACCAAACAGAAAACAATAAACTTGCGGAAAAGATGGTATACCGCAAACAAAAGGTGCAAAATAAGTACACCATATCCGGATTTCGACAATTAATGTCTCTTCAGTGATGTTAGGAATCGAAACGGTATTTGGAAGGCCATATAATTTACCTCAATTTAGGATAGACTCTTGAATTTTGAAGAGTCGAAATAGTATGAACGGATCATATAAACCCGAAGGCAAATATAATACAAGCCCAAACGAAAAAATATAAACAAGTCTAAATTGAAAACAACGTTTAAACCTATAATTCGACTAAATAACAGCCCAACAATGTTAGATCTGTAAATTTGCGAAAGCAAATTTTTTGTTCTTCCCTGGCCGGGATTCGATATCATGCTACTGAGATATCGTGGCACCAAATCGTCTTGCACTATGCCCGACGCGCTATACCACTCGACCACTTAGGCTCGACAAAAATCAAGCTTTCGGTGGCCGGGTGTTACCTTTCCTCGTCAGTTTTTATCTAGCGTCGTAGCAAAATACAGGATATATAAGGCATGAAGATGGAATATTACAGATCAGCTGAATTATCTATTGTAGAGGATCTTACAAATTGATGTAGGATGCAGTCACAGAAATAATTATATTATAAGTACGTCTGAACCAGTGACAACTCTACGACAGATTTTATCCATCGGATCACCAGTGATGGTGATACAAGGCTGAAAACACATTCTATATACATAATTCGTCTAAATAACAGCCCAAAAATGTTAGATCTGTAAATTTGCCAGCCAGGGAAGAACAAAAGTTTGCTTCCGCAAATTTACAGATCTAATATTGTTGGGCTGTTATTTAGACGAACTATGTACTAGTATACAGAAGCCAAGAATTTCCTGTTATTTTCTCGATTTCACTTTGTATCTATGTTTCAATGACTGTTAAAACTATGATTATAAATTAAACTTGAATAACTTAAACATGCATACCGTTTATTTACATAGACCCTTCTAAAACTAGCTGTGCTTTCTAAATCGCTTAAATCATTGTATTTAGAGCTTGATAAGTTTTCATGTGACTGTTTTGTATGCAACTATTTAAACTGAATAATATAATTTAATTCAAAGTCCGTTTAACGGCGTGGTCTCCTGAAGTTACATCCACGCAATATCTCGTTAGTAAAGACGAACGACTGTAAGAACCGTTTCTTTTAGTTTGATCCTTATAAATTGCTATAAGATGGGCTTTTTTGTAGAATTATATTTTAAAAGGCGTAGTTACAACGTTATATTGTAAATTCAACTCGTATACTAGTAAAGAAAAAAATGGTTTCAATGAAGTGGATATTAGTATACACCCGTAAAATCATAAAAAAATACAATAAAATATTGTTTTAATCATGATAAACATATGGTTGATTATGTAAAGGTGTGGATCAAATTAATCACATCCTTCATACGTTTACAACATCCCTGAGTCTCTTGACCAATAAGGTAGCTTAAAAATTCTCAATCAGTTCAGATGAATATTAAGTGCTCAATTTCCTTATCACAATTTAATAATTTACTTGAAAATTTGTTTGTATGGAAATATTCATAATTGAAATAAACAGATAAAAAGCGTGAAATCTATTTATTAGAATTTCAATAATCTAAAGTTGGGATTTCCATAATTTGTTGAAAAATAAGGTAGGTCTTCTAGATTTTGTTAGGGAAATACAAATAACATAATTCTACCTGGCTTTACATGGACAAAAAATCAATTGGAGTTAATTATTGACTTAGCTACTCGACCTGCACTACGTTTCTACAATCCTTTATTTCCTACCCATCAAAGATCACCAAAGCTCCTATTTAATTTGGATGCGATTGGTTTTCAAAGATTCAATATACTGCCGTAAAATCTAACTGGGATCACGTGGTGTCAATGGATGCTTAATTATGAAAGGCCAATTTAAATAAACCGACAAAAGAGTATAACTTGAACATCGAATCTAGCTTAGATACGAAAACATTTAAATATTGCAATAATAATAACTCAACAGATGGACTTACATTTCCGTTTACGTAGATCAGTACATTAATAAATTCATTACAAAAGTAAATACCAGTGTTTGTAATTTCACTTTGGACGAAGCTAAATAAGCGGAAGCATTAAAAGGCGGGAAACATTCGGAACCCACGTTTTTCAAAGGTGTTGTAAATTTGCAAACTATTTAAGAAACAACACGTTTTAACAAAATTACTGACGACAAAAGACTTTTTGGGAATTTCAACATCAAGAACTAATTTAAGTAACAAGGTATGTACTGTAGTTTGCTTTTTTACCTTTTATGTAGTTTTGTAAAAGATATACTATTTAAATAAATAGCAATAAATAGAAACATGAACAAAAAAGGTTAATGATAAAAGTAAAATCGTTTTCAGTAGTTAACAGATTGATGTATTTCTGAAAAAGATTTTTTGATAAACAATATAACTTTTTTTGTATAAAAACGAATTTAAGAAAAATTATTCTTTTTTAATTATACACTATAAAAACTGCAACTCAACTGTTTAAACAAATGTCTTGAAACTTTTATTCTGGGTAATACATGTATATGTCTCATGAACACGGGAATGGTCATGTCGCAACTACTAGAAAAAGAAATTTAAAAAGGGTGCATATTAAATCCTTGCATATACTTTAACATCCGTATATACCAGTAAATGTGTTGCTTCGATCGTCTACGTTAATGACTTAGATGCGTTTAATTATTCAATGAAAACAAGAAAGTTTCTTTTGATACCGAAGTTTCAATCAAATGTATTTTAAACAATGTTTTTTTTTCAATATCTGGATATTTAAAAAAAGACTTTAAAACATTTTAAATTACTAATTGGCTTTTGTATCCTTAACTATGTGTGCGCTAGTTCATATTAACTAAACATATTGTATATTAATACCAGTATAATTTGTTTCATAATTGAAGTGGAGAACAAATAATATGTTGGCAGAACCAAAATAGAGATTGTTGACATACTCACATAACACATTAGTAACATAAATCTGTTGCAAATAAGCAATTTTGTTTCTTGCTGCTACAGATACAAATATGTTTATCCAATGAAGCGCTACCAAATCATAATTACGAATAAAATACGGAGCAGATCAGTCACCTTTTTGAAAAACAAATAATCATGCAAAATTATTTATATGTTTTTATTATATTAAGTCTGTATATATTTCATACCTTTTTGGCAAAATAATGAATTAAAAACGACAGTCAATCGAGGCCTGTAGTATCCAAGGAGGAGGATCAACACATATGCAATTTATGTTCAAAAGAGTTTAATCAATATATAATGTTGAGTGTAACACCTTTTTGTGTGTTTGATGTCTGCATAAAATTTCTGCAGAGGAAATTGAACTAAATTCGATTATTTGTTCAAACATGTTGTTGGTAAAGCAAAAACCTAGAATAGAGCAAATGAACTCAACATAATTATGTTGTTTTTCTTTATTCAATGATTCAAATATACGTATTGAAATTAATTATTACACGAAAACCAAAAAAAAACAAAAAAAAACAATGGTAATGAAAATGAAAAGGTTTGATCGTCATCCACGAGTTTTAATGCCTATAACACTTTAGTTCATATCTCCTTTTTCTATTTTGCATTATTTTGTTACTTATACTTACATTAGAGACAATTGTGTTATTTGTTATTCGTTGACTTGATATAAGTCTGTCTGGCTTTTCAAGCTAATATGACATTGCATATAACTCATTAAATTCTTATGCTATCACAAGTTCTTTCTTCTCATGTTCATGCTTGTTCTATACAATTGTAGTTTTGATGTTAATCGATACAGTTTGTACAACAAATTGTCACGTTTTTGATTGCACTTTAGTGTATCCCATTTATATTCTTTACAACAATTTTTTTGACAAACGACCACAGGCAGCAAATCCCTTTTCATTTTTGTTATAAAAAAGAACCGAAGCCAAAGCTGGAAGCAAACAAAGTACTTCCAAAATATGTGTTTTAATTGATTAGTTTGTTTTCTAATATTGATATCAATGTTTAAATAAGAATGTTTCATGTTATTTTCCATGTATCTTTGAAACGATTGTTTATTTCTCCTAAACAAATTAAATTAAAGCTAAGTAAAGTATACAAATGCTGAAATTATATTCACTAAGTAGATGTATTATATAAAGCAAGGTGCGTGAGAGGTTCGAACATTGGTTATTGGTATGAATATGATTTTAATGGAGATGTGAGGAAACTCAACAAGATGCCGATCCACCAAACATACCTTTCGAAATTTTAATTCCTTAATGCTCTTCAACTTTGGACTTCACTTGGCCTTTTTACTTTTTGTATTCGAGCGTCACTAATGAGTCTTTTGTAGATGAAACGCGCGTCTGGTGTATTAAAAAGTAAAATAACAAAAACACCGAACTCAAATCGCAAAAGTCTCTTTTCAAATGGCAAAATCAAAAGCCCAAACACATCAAACGAATGGTAAACATCTGTCATATTCCTGACTTGTTACAGGCTTTTTCTTATGTAAAAAATGGTGGATTAAAGCTGGTTTTATAGCTAGCTATAGTAAGCCCCGTATCTTTAATGAGTTTTTTTTTTATATAACAAAAAAACGACATCTTCAGCTCAAAATGAATAGGGATTTTTGCGGAAGTAGCTAAAACAAGTTATCTTAGGTTTATGAAAATAGTATTGTTGATAAGATCACCCTGTAGAGGAAACAAATAAATTGGAAAAACATTCTACTGATATTAGACATTGAAATGAACCGTATAGCATATTATGTTATATTAGTTTGTAAAAAATGTAAATTAGCCAGAATAAGATCATCATTATAATGCATTTAAATAGAAATTTCAGTGTTTTTCAATTACAAAGATGTATTTAAGAAGGCGTCGTGTTAATTGTTTGCCTCTTACAGAATTAAGCAGAAAAGTTGCATCTTTTATTCCAATTCGATTGATGCAATAATTAGAAACACCAATTTACAAATTTATTACTTGATTCCGTCAAAATTTACAAAAGTCATGCATCTTTGAAATAGAATAGTTGTAGATGATTGATGAAATTGATCAAACTTCGCCAATAATAATCATTTTGATTCACTGCTTGGCAGCTAACTCATAATTTAGGTTGTACTTCTGTGTAACGAGGACACAAATTAAGTGGAAACAAATACAAACTCATAATAAAAACAGTTACAATATTTACATTTTATAAAGGGTCCTACATACACCAAGCAACCCATAAGGTTTTAAACTTATGAAAGAAAAAATTTCTAAATAATAGATGCAAGATTAAGCGTGTCTAAAGTTTTGTCTTACTTCGGCATTTATATTTCGTTGTCATCATAGTTATGCTTAGAATAGATCTGTTTGTTGACAATGAAATAGCAAGCAAAAATACAACAGCTTCAAAAATGAAAACCTGTTGGTTATTTTTGCTTCTTCTTGGGTGTATTCGAAGGACGAGAGAATCCTTACATGATATTGAAAGCTATAAATAGACACCTAAATTACTTAATATATAAATAGAAATTACTTAAAATAAATGATATTCAAAGAAATGTGACAAAATGAAAGTTTCTGGTGGTGACTAACGGAACTCCTGATCGAACCACAATCCACATTTAATGAATATGTGGTCTAGTGATAATATGCTGCCTCGAATGAGAATTATCTTTACCAATTTGGTCAAACCGAAGACTTGAAAAATGGTAATTGCTGCTTCTCCGTCAAGTACTCGGCATAAACTGTTTTGGAGAGTACAGATTGTTTGAACTTGACGTAGAATAATATATCTGAGTAGAAGGGCATATGTCTTTCGGCAGATTGTAAACTTGTAGCGAGCACGATAAAATCCAACACAAGGAACTGGCTTGCATATGCAAGGTATAATGTTTATTTATATCTTGTTAACATGCTATCGTTCCGAATAAAAAGTAACTATTTGCCACTGGACCTGAAGCAGCCATCACTTAATCAACAAATTAACAGTTCACGAGATTTTCTTCCTTAAAATCTAATACATGTATATATATTCACAATTAATGCAGGCCGGGGTGTTTCCACTTATCAAAATCGGTTTAACAAAGCTTGGACAGATCAGAAATGTATGAAAAGGGATATTCATGTAAAGCTGATATATATATAGGAATATGGAAAGGTTAATTAGTCAGATTTCACGATTCTTAGAAATTTCATTTATTTATTCATACCAACTGTCATATAGGTATTATCTTCTTGTGGCTTCTACCTGATCATAATAAGCTTTATCAACAACTATTACGATATCTATATTATTTGTATGAATTGACTTTTACACTTTTTGTATTTTTTTCTATATGTGCTATCTGTCTAGTCTTTCAGTCTGTAAACAGACTGTTGTTATTTGAGTGAAGCAATAGTCGTTGTTATATATATGTAACTCGTCTAAACATCAGCCCAACAATGTTAGATCTGTAAATTTGCTTTCGCAAATTTTAAGTTCTTCCCTCGCCAGGATTCGAACTCATGCTACTGAGATATCGTGACACCAAATCGCCTGCACTGTATCCGACGCGCTAGACCACTCGACCACCTAGGCTTCACAATAATAAAGCTTTCAATGGCCGGGTGTTACCTTTTCTCGTTTGTTTTAATCTAGCGTCGTAATACAGTACATGATATATAAGGCATGAAGATGGAATTGTTACAGATCAGCTGAAATATCTATTGTAAAGGATCCTACAAATTATTGCAAGATACAGTCACAGAAATATTTCGCAAATTTTTAGTTATTCCCTCGCCGGGATTCGAACTTGTGATATACAGCCATGTATCACCATCACTGCTGGTGATCCGATGGATACATATGTTGTAGAGTTGTCACTGATTCAGACGTACTTATATATATATAGTCACTGATTGCAGAAATGTTCATCTGTATTTAGACCTATTAATGAGTGTTTACTGTAGTTGTACGGTGATAATGTCTTATATTTGCTGTTTTATATTTGGTAGTTAGTATAGTTGAGCTTATAGCTTGCCACGTCATTAAAAATAATTCATACACCTATAACGAAATTGGTAAACACTTTTATTCAATATGAATATCCTACATTCATCATGATTTATTTCAAAGTGAGGTCAAATTATTTAAAGCTCCTCCCCTACCTCTTTTCTAAATTATTGTAAGCTAATATTTTTCATTATCCATAATCAGGGGTATATATAAATACAGGTCTAAGACACTGAAAAATACGATTTCAATAACCAAAAATATGTCCAA